CAGACACAACTCCGCTAGCGCCTTCTACGAAGGCTGGCTTTCGTAACATGGATTTTAAGTGTATAGGAATCAGTCCCATGAACTCCATATACAATGAATGGTCCTGGTGCGTGCTGAGAAGTAGAGGTACTGAAAGACTGGAAGCAAGTCGGCGTCTTGCCATACATCACCAAGCTCAAGCTCTTGAAAAAGAGCCAGCTGGGATTTGCCAGGCTTAGGCGTCTTGTTGACGCGTAGGTCTCCACGGGGTTCGCGCCTAAGCTCTTCCACATAGAGCTCATGAATGCTGTCTCCAAGTCGTTCAGGATAAGACCTCCGTGAGAATGAGGGCTCAAGAAGCTTGGGGTTTTGTGGGTTTGGGTAAAAGGAGGACAACTCCAACACATCCATGGGATTTTGTAATGTGTACACTAAACCCATGGACAGCGAGGCGCTGTGTCGACTTGAGTTCTTCCTTCTTCCCCACAAAGCGCTTGACACCGTTCTGGTCACGGTAGCTTCCTGGGCGGCCCGCTCCGAGGTAGGTGATGCCCCCATTGCATGTGGTTGCATTGGAGTCTGTTAAATCCAAGTTTCTGGTTGTGGATACTTTGGTCTTCAACTCCTTCTCTTTCTTGGAAAGGACTCCCTTGTCCAAGTGATTCATGGTAGAGAGGTTCCCATAGAAGACAGTCCGCTTGGCAGATTTCGATCCGTGGTGCATAAGCCAGAAGTGGGTTTGAAACACCTTGGATTGGATCACACCCCTCTCGATTTTCTATATGTTACGAAGTTCTTTGACCTACCAGTGCATGACTAGAAGCCCATGCCACACGGTTGCAAAACCATTCGTATCTCTTGTGGTGCTGTAACAGGCTTTGCGATGGTTGCTCCAGCAACCAAAACAGATTCAATGCAGTCACAAGCAACAGGCCCAATGTCAGCCTAAGCGGAAGGCAAAAAACGAAACCCTTTTGTCCTTTCAACCTGAAGGTATTTTTAGCTTGCACGACATTAAGGGTATATTTTGCTGAGGGTCCGAGAAATCATAAGGTTTCCATCCCTGACGAATTGGTAGCAGGTGTTTCCTGCAATGTTGATGATCGATCTCCCAGAGGTGTGCCTACAAGGCAACCCCCATGATCCACAGACTGGTGCCCACAGGGTCAGCCCGCGGGGGGGCCATATTCATCAGCACGTAGATCGCGAGCCTGAGCTTCAACGGACCACCGGTTGGAAACAAGTGGACCTTCAGGTACCAGTTGGAAAGATTGGGCATGAACATGTGGGTGCGACGAAGTAGCAGGAACCCAGAGACATTGAGAAAGTCCATGTGTTTGTTGGAGTAATCAAAATCAATGCTGGCCACAGAGTAGCCAAGCCTGTGCCTGCCCCAAAGATTCAGACTCTTGCTGGCCATTATATGTTCCAATTCCCTTCTCATGTATGAACATGCTTTCTGCGGGCTTAGGTGCATCTTCTTTGAAACGTTACCCTGCCCTGAGAAGACCTCTAAGAATTGGAAGCCCCGATCAAAAGACACAGCGTCATTCCACGATAGCAGAAGTACCTGGGCACCGGGAAAAAACACCAACCCAAAGGAATGAAATAGATAGTTAGGTCCCTCACGATTGCCACAAACACCTGCACGGATTCAATTGAAGAGGCTAACTGAATCAGATGCAAGTCGAGAGGAAACCAAGTCCCACCTTAGGTGCCTGGACTTGGGTCAAGATCGTCACCCAGTTCGTCATCACGCCAAATCACCCGGGGCGAGGGAAGCTTGAAGCCAAATGTCTATTTAAACTGATGGCATGAAGTGTTGGCTAGCCACCGAAAAACACGTGAAGCTTCAGACCCAAACATGAAAAGCCGTGCGTGTAAACATGACGCCGCTGGTCAGATCGGGTCGATCGGGGGCGCGCACCGCGAAGGCTGGCCCGCACTCTCCAACCATTGGCCCGCGCTCGGGGCATGTAGCACCTCCAGGCCGCAAGAGTGGCTGGATGTGGGTTTGAACTCGTGAATACTTACAGCAACCTCCCCAAACATCCCCATTTGGCAGCTTTGCTCTTTTTTTCCCTTTCCTTCCGATGCGAACAGTTCGCCATCTGTCGATCGTTCACGATCACATACACGCACACGTGTTGTAGATCAACAAGCGCTGTTGGCCATCCTTGATCTCACGTGTCCCCGAACCCCTAAAAAGCTTGCCATATTCAGCACAAGTAGGTATACGACACGCTTAGCTAGGTTTATATGTTGTACTTCAGGCTTGCTTCAAAACAGGCTTGGCAAGCGCATGGAACATACAGCCCATGTGGCACTTCACCGGCAGGGTGCTAATGGCATCACTTGGTCTCAGCGTATGCCTGAGCGCTATTAGTTCATTCATTCCGATTGCACTTGCAAAATGTTTCAACACTCTTCCGAATTCCCCATCTTTAGTGTCCCAAACGTCTAAAATGGGGAAACACACGGACATGGTTTTTGTTATCGAGCTAGTCGCTTTTTTGGCAGCTGAGTTGGCTTCCTCTGGCGTCTTACCCGATTGTAGAGCTTCTCTGCGGGCCTTCTTGTAGGCACACGACTTCCTTGACAAGAGTGCCTTCTTGTCATCCTTGCATTTGGTGTTCTTATTATCCTTCTTGGTGGGCTTGGCTGAGCGCGACTTTGCTTGGGGCTTGCTCGAAGGTGTTGGCTTGGCATCCCCTTCCTCCTTTGATGTTCTGGGCTTCTTGGTTCGGTTGGATGCTGGCTTCGCGTTGGCATCGCTGCTGCTACCTGCTGTGATGTCTGGCTCATCTTCAGGTGCGACTGACGGAGCAGGTGAATCTGCTTTGCTTGCGTGTGTTTTTTTGGCGCCGGCGCTGGCCTTTGCCTTAGCCTTTGCTGTTGGTTTCGATGCCTTCTTGGCCTGCGACTTTGCTTTGGCTTTCGCCTTGGCTGCCGCAGATGGGTTTTTGGGTGGGCGGCCTTTGCGTTTTGGCTCACCTTTTCCTAGATTGCGCTTCTGCTCCTCTGGTGAGATACATGGCTCACTCTCAATGAGTGCTGAGGCCACTTGCTGGTTTGTTGCAGGCTCTTGTTTGGAATTTGGCTGTGTAGCCGTAGCCTTTGCAGTAACCTCGGACTCCTCAAGGACTGGTGTACGCTCAGCCGCTTCTGCTGGTGGGTGTGGCTCTACAGGGTCAGTTGCTTCTCGCTGCTGTGTGTGCTTTGCAGGCATGTGCTGAAGTGTTTGCTCAGGCGTTTGCTCAGTGGTTTGGTTCCCCTCTACAGCCCTGCTAGAGACATCCTTTGCCACTGGCGATGCACTGGCAGCATCCTGCTTTGGAACCTCTCCAAGTACAAGTGTTGATGCCGAAAGTAGCGAGCTATCATCTCCAGCTTTGGTTCGCTTTGGCACTGGCGCCGATGAAGGTGAAGGTGTGCTCGCCTACAAATGAAATTCTTTAAACAGCGGATGAAAACACAGGCAAAACATATGCATGGCTATACGGTGCACATTGCAAGTATTGTACGCAAGAAACATTCAAAACCGCAATGCACCCGGGTCACATGGGGCTGCCGTGAAGTAGACGGCAAAAAGATGACAGGAGGGTGGCCCCTTATCAAAGCAATCTTTGCCATTTGGCAAATTTCCCCTTCTCTCACATAAATTGGCCAATCGGGGAGTGGGTACATGATCGAAGTCACCCTGTTGCCGTTCAAATCCGTAGTGCAATACTCTTGCGGTGTATCAAATGCCTCGATCCCGGCCAGGCGCTGGATTTCCTCATCACACATGGGCAAAGTATCGACGTTGTCGATACCTCAGACAGCATGTTGAACTTAAGGAATATGTACATGTCTGTGCATATGAACAGGTTGTCGTGCACAATTGCCAAGAAACCACCTTTGTTCTTCTTGGCCACCAGCTCTGCCAAGCGTTGGCGTTCCCAGTGAACCATTTGTAGGAGCTTCAAACGCCGCATCTCCTTTTCAGCAGCCTGGATGTTTTCCTGCACCTGTTTGGCCTCAAATTTGGGTACTGGGGGCACAGGCCGCTTTGGAACCACCTGTGGCACAGTTTTCTCAACAAGATCATCTTCACAGTGAAGTGAAGGACACAGCTTGGTAGAAAGAGCACGCACAGAATCACTCAATGTAAAGCACCGGTTGCACATGAGAGGTGATTCCACCAACGCATGCCCCTTCTCCTCATCAAAGCATGGGGTCTCCATAACCTTCTCCTTGAACCTGTGCGCGGTCTTACACGTAGTGCAGATCCACCCGCACTTCACTGGCTCATGGTGCTTTGGTGCACTCAACGGTGATTCTGTACCTCAGTGACTCCGTTACATGAACATTATGCAAAAAGCCAAATTGGCAAGAGCTTCATTGAGGTTGTTTCTTCAAACCATATTTTCGTGGCCATCACAGAAGCATGCGTGCCTGTTTGCTAAGCGTGTTATTCGTCTACGACTCGTCCCAGCCACTCTGGCGAGGTCGAGGTGGCGGCGTCACAGTGTACGAGGGCGAAGGCACCATGCTTTCAGACGAGAAACCGCGTGACAAACCTGGGCATGGCGGCAAAGATATTTTCGATAAACGGACCGGTAAACTGGTAAACTTGTTCATGCATTCATGCATGTATACATTCAGTTTCCGGGCGCTATATTGCTGTTTGAAAGCTCTCACGGGACACGATGGACTTTGTCACGAACTTGTGGGAACCCTCATTGCCACCATCTTTCGCTGCAATGTCTGGTTGATGTTGGTCAGTCAGATCCTGCCCATCACCCCAATGAACATATACTTTTCCAAGAGGTGACCAAGTTTCAAACATACTGCAAGTACTAGGATTTGAGCATTTAGTCTAAGAAGTTACCATAGCGAGCACAAATGTGCAATCAAACCTAGCCGTAGGATTGCAGGTGCCAATTCCAAATCTCGATGAGTAATGACTGGTGGTGTCCTGGTCTTCGACGCATTCATCATCAGTCCAAGCAGCTTCCGATTCTTCGCATTCTCCACCTTCATCATAATGTTCATCATTTTCCTCAGCAGGACCTTAGAGGAGGATTGGGTGTGGGAGCAGGCGCCCGAAGTCCAAGGAATTGCTTTGCCTGAAAACCATGAAAACCATATGTGCATTGTTTTGAAATGCATCCTTTAAAACAACCTCAGCCCCCCACCGCTTCCTTGATCTACATCAATCCCAACACATGAAAACAGCTTTCGGAGCTGCTTATCGCGAGGAATGTGTGGTCTCCGGGTCACACCCCCAAAGATAGATACAAGTCGGCGAAGAGCCCAAGCTTCGGTCTTGATGACATCACCTAAGCGCAGGGGGATGGCGAGCGCACACTTAGTTTGGGGTGCTACTTTTGCAAACTTTGCAAATCATGAATCCTAGTTGCTTTTAGGAAGAGGCTTTCCTCTTGGTCGGCACAAGTAGAGGAACCTGCTGGTTACATCTTGCATTTGGGAGATGCTGGGTCGGGTGCCTTGGATGTCATGTGTCGTGATCACACCGTAAATCAACGTGCACACTCCAGATTCCGTTTGCAAGCTCACACTGAAGTTAAGTTGAGGTGCCAAATTCACGGATGAGTGGCTCAAGAATGTCCACGTTGTCTATGACAGTTTGGCGGGTTAGGTCACCATCACGATTGATGTGGGGGATCTTGCCTGTAGCACCCCTGGATACTAGTTCAGGCATCTGCAGCCAAGCTTTCACCACAGGGCACCCACCTTCCTGTTCGGAAACGCTCATGGCAGCGACCCTTCTTTTCAATCTAACTAGGCAGCCGGTGATCAGGGCTGCAGTAGGACGGCGGCATGTTACTAGCACTGCGTTCACTGCTCATGCAATCTCAGACCCCATGGGGCCAGGCCTGGAACTATGAGATCAATGCCCGGGGGCCGCACTACATGCTCACCACATCACACCACTCTAATCTAGTTTGAAGAAAGGTGCACCCCGCCTTGGTAGCCAAGGTAGGCCAGGTGAAAACTTTTGCCAAAATGGCTGCCGGACAGCAATCTGCTTCAGCAGGCTCCAAGAAAAGTAGGCGTTTTGCATAAAGTCAACGATCTTGCTAAAAGTCAACGATTCAGAGAGAAGCAAGCGACTGGCTGATATGTACTACGAACAAGGGGGGGGGTACAAATTTGTATGACGATTGGAGCCTCAGGGTTATTTATAATTTTCTGGTCACCATGAGGGAACCATGAGGGGAGAGTTTTCAAGAGATGTTTCACGGACCGTTTGCAGATGTTTGCATATATACCCTGAGCGTCCTCGACCTTTAAAAGAAAGGGGGACCCTTTGTTTGCACCTCTGATCAGGTCACTGTCAAGCGTCTTTCCGCTGAGGTCACTTGAGTGAGACCTTGCCCAGAATCCAGAGCTCATTCCGGTTCTGGTAGTGTTTCTTGTCATTCCCCAAACAGTTTCTGTTGGGGTTCTATCTTAGAAAAAAAGAGCTGGCCACACTCACTGGCCGCGCCCCTGAACTCTGTGGCTGGGCTCTGTGTCCAGGCCTGGTCCTCCTCTTGTCCTCTGTGGCTGGGCTTTGTGTCCAGGCCTTGTCCTCCTGGCCGCGCCCCTGAACTCTGTGGCTGGGCTCTGTGTCCAGGCCTTGTCCTCCTCTTGTCCTTGTTTTGGCCGCACCCCTGAACTCTGTGGCTGGGCTCTGTGGCCCCGATCTGTGTCCGGGTCTTGTCCTCCTCTTGTCCTTGTCTTGGCCGCGCCCCTGAACTCTGTGGCTGGTCTCTGTGGCCCGGCTTACTGGAGAGGAGTGTGGCCGAACAAATGGCGATGTCAATGCCGACAAAAATTCATTGATGAAGCAGTTTGCTCTTGGGGTGAAAGTAGGGCGTACCAAGAAATCGATTTTTGACTAATATTGGTCTAAACACAAATCGCTTTGAAGCTGTTTGGGGTCTATGCTTGTAGAATGATTTTTAATGTATATGTTAACATCAATGGCACTGTGAATGCTGGAAGTCACATCGACCTATGATGAATTGTGAAATTAGCTTGGGGAACTGCGTCCAAGGAAGTCGCATCAATTTGCGTTGCCATGGGGGATAGGGTTTGCTCCTGAAGAAAAACAATTCATTTGATGGTTTTTGCAGGGGAGCGGTGCTTGGGACCATGATGCTTTTTGGCCCTGCTGATAGGTCCAATGTTGCGTTACCTTGCGTTTTCAACATTTGTCTTTGAAGGCGACAGCTGTAATATTCACCATCATTTGTGACTAGCGGAGACAGCGCCTTGCGGTTCATGCGCAAACTTTCCCCTACCAAGAACAAATGCTCTAGCTGTCAGCAGTACATTGGTAGTGACTGTCGGTATTGCCCGCATTGCTCGACAAAGAATGTGAGTTTTGAAGAAGAGAAAAGTAAGTTGCTACGCACAGGTGCTCGAAGTGGCTGGCAGGCTCCTCCGGCCCCAGGTATTTCTCCAGAAGCTGAAGCAACAGGGAAGGAAAGTCAAGAGCTCAGACAGCTTGATGACTTGATGAAGAACCTCCGTCAAAGGAAGCGCAAAAGGGAAGAGACAGGGGAACCGGCAGCGGCAGCGAAGCAGACTGCTCCTGCTCCTGCTGAAGCTGAGCAAGAGGTGCCACCTGCTTCACCAGCTTCTAGTGATCAGGAATGGGACCTCGATACAGTTGAGGGATGCACTTCTTACTTGGTCTGCCTCTTCAGCAAATCTCGACGATCACAAGCTCGACCTGTTGCTGACTTCTACGTCCGTGAGTGCTTGAAACCTCAAGTGAAAAAGAACTGTCCTCTCTACAGAGTCTTCACCATGGAGTTGAAGAAGCTTGACAAGCTGAAAACTCAGGCCAGAACACGGTGGCTGCAGACGTGGGAGACGAAAAGAACCCAAAGGCATGCCAAGGTCAACAAGAAAAAGTAGGTGCCTTGCACTGCAAAGCAGTTTTGCAGGGATTGGGGCTTTTACATGACATGGGATGAGGATACACAGTCATGGGCGTTAAATGCAGGTAAGCCAATGGTTGCCCATGCCAAGAAGTAGACCTAACCTGTACCCGCACTGTGAATACAACAGTTGAGGTGACTAACGGTCTCGAAACCAATGTTTTCTACACACTTACTGCGGAGTTCCATGGGGGGAAAGAAGTTGAGGTGACTTTTTGTGGGAGTTGATGTGCGGAGTTCCATGCGGATCAAGATCCCAACCAGACGTTGAGGCAACTTCCGACCTTGATAGTATCGTGTCAATTGCTCAATTGTTGAAAACGCATGCATGGGTGTTTAAAGTTTTATACGTGTCTTTGGCAATATGCGCGCCATGGAAACTTCATGAAGCGATGAAGGGTGCATTGGCCACCCGCCTGAATCTCAGCATGCTGGTGAAAATTGCAGTGGTTCCGGTTCCTCACCCGAATTACGTTGACCCCCAAATCTGAAGACATCATCGATACTGATATCTTGGATGGTGCGCCCGTGTCACCCAAGCTTGCATGAAGTCACTTCAGTTTTTCCAGCTGGCCTTGCAAGAAAATGCAATAAAACAGTCTTCATGACTGTGGGCTCATCTTGGCTCAATTGGAAACCGTAAGCTGGCCGCTGGCACTGCCGTTCTTCACAATATCACATACGGTACTTGTACCATAGACTAGTAGAGCACACATGGAGATGGAGACTTTATCCAAGCGATTTAATGTGGTGCGAGTGGGATTGGTAAAGGGAGACTTGCATGGACACACGCACAACCGGAATGGACATGAAACCATGCAACAATATGTGCTGCAACTTCATTGCGACATGAAAATGAGCTCTCTCCACAGGAGTACCTGAAGACTGAAGAAGTTCTGTGAAGATGACGGCTTTCTAGCTTCCAGGAGGAAAATCTTGAGGGCACGGGCTGGGCTCAAAGACTCTGATCGTCATTTGGTTCTTCACTCAGTTTGAGATTTTTGCTTGTATTGGCAAAGACTAGCTAGAATGTTCACTAAAAACACTTTTGAAACTGCAGGTCCCCAAATTCAAATCCCTCATTCTGGAAGGTAGCTCCTTTGGTGAGCAAGAGGCCTGGACACGGACATGGACATTAATTACAAAATAGGAGGATGTGCATATCGTGTGTGTGTGTGCATGGATATATGCAGTACCGTGTTTTGTTTAACTGACCTTCCAATTAGTACTTGGTGGATCCCAGGTTTTAGGTTAGTTGCGTTATGAAATCCAGTGTGTAATAGTGTGTACTTAGTATTTTGTTTTCATTTGGAAGGCCGAAAGTGGCTTCGTTTGCTCACGACCTGCCATGGCGGTCCGAGGTAAAGGCAGTGTACGTACTGTTATTTGCATATATTATTCAACTGTGCCGTGCAGTGCACTCAACAAACCACGCATGCATGACTTCCAAGCTAAAGTGGTGTGGTCATTCTGACAGGCTGCACTCAAGTGGGCTTCCATCCACTACCAATTGAACCCATGGAAGCAGTCGCAACCACAGGAGGACATGGGATGACTTGGTTAACTCAACATAATGTCCAAAACAGCGATTGAAATATGGCCTGGTTTTCGATCAAATTATATTTCTATAATTCTGGCAGAAATGCCGGATTGGGCTCACGTCGAGTCGGGTGTTTTCTTGGCAATGGGCTCATGGATGTTAAATCGTTTTCAGCGCAATCCTGGATCCAGGCCTCCTGCCAGTGAGCATGCGATTGTTATTCAAATACATGCACTGGTCGACATTTCAACTATGTGTGCATGTATGTAGTCATGGTGTGTTTGCATCTGTGTGTGTGCGCGCATTTGGCCGTTGCTCCAGACCTGGACATGGAAGAACTGAAGCGCTGAAATCAATCGTGCATCAGAAGTTGAATGACACTGATTAACAACCTAGGATATTCATTTGTGTTTTCAGTAAATAAACTGGATTGAAAGATCTTTCGGTTAATGAACATATAATATGCCATTTTGCAGGTGCACGATCTGCTCACACCAGAGGGCGAGCATGTTGCAAGCCGTGGTGGACTTAGCAATAAGAAGAAGGAGCAGGCAGGGACAGGAGAGAGTTGAGCAACAGCACGCATGCTTAATATGTGGGGTCCTTTGCCTCGGTCCAACAATATTAGATTTGATACATGCGTTATCATGCATTCTATGAATAATATCACATACTGCACTAGATTTAATGAAACGCACAGCAGATCCATCGATGGCAGGCAGCAGCCTCGGCCTCGGCCCGTACTTGTCCACCGGATGCATGATTCCCAAGCTGTGCAGACGCCTCCCCCAATCCGAGCCATGCAACCTCTTACCACACACACTTGATGCTGGGTTATTGCGGGGAGAGTCTATTTCGAACTTGCAAACAGATTCGCAGGTGAGTAGCCAACAGGGTGAAACCATGGAAGACAGTGAGGAAGAGGTCAACATGGAAGACTTGGTGCTAGACAATGAGACAATCCAAATTTTGAGTGAGGATGAATGCGTCATGTCCCCTCGAAAAGTGCTGCCACCCCCTGGTGATGAGCCCATCTTCGCAGCAGAGGCAAAGCCCGAGGCAAATGTGCCACCAGGCATTGGTGAGCCACCTGCCGAGGAGGTTGTGGAGGCTACCCTGGAAGCATATGGCATTGACCTGTGGGCAGCCCCAGAACAGCCCAGTTCCATTGTGGATCCCAAAAGGATGAGGAGCCTTTGAAGGAAAGAAAGGAAAGGAAAAGGCATGCCACCTCCTCTGCCGGCTTGTTGAATACACCGGAGAAGCGCCGGGGCTGGGCTGAAAAGAGCCTTGTCCAAGAGCCAAGGTTCAAAGCCAGCCCAAGAAAAGGGTGAAGGTGATGATGCTTTGGCTCCAGCCGCTGCATCAGCAGCATCCTCTGCTGATTTGCTTCCAAAAGGCGGGTTCTGGGTTTGCACACTTTGATTTTGCCTAACATTGATGTCTAGGTCGACAAAAATATTTGGCAATCATTTGGATGCAAAACTCGTAGCTTGTGTGCGCGCTGAGATTTTCATTGCCATGCGTGCATGCATGCATGCATGAGTTCCTTTGACGACAGATTGCTTTTTTATGTAGCTCTGACTTCCAAACCTCTTGTCCAAAAGCGTGGTTCATTTTCCAGCTTGGCCATTACATAGCACTTTGGCTTGTATATGTGGCTGGAGTTGGAAGGAAAGCTGAAAGGACTGGAGGGTGATGAGAATGATGCAAGCAGAAGAAAAAGCAAGAGTTCGAGCAGAAACAGCAAAAGGCCTACAAATATATATATATATATACACGAGTGGACTATCAGATGTGTTTTGTACTGTGTGCAGCGTTTCAACATCACACCTTTCTTTGAATTATTTTCACTATCAGAAGGCCAAGATGTATAACTTTCCAGCTTTGAAAGCATCTGTGGTGGGAGATCCCTTGCGGGTACTTCCTACTGAAGAAGACATCAGTACTCAAAAGTTCTTACCTTACTTAAAGTACTTTTTGCAAGAACTTTCATTACGTGTGAGTTTGGATTTTTGCAAAAGCTTGTAAACACATGTGCACATGTGTGTGAATTATCAGTGCGTCTGCGTGCCTTGCGCCTTGTCCGTCTCAGGTCCTTTACCATCAGTCCTTCGGAGGACTTGCCGCCGAAGCTTGCACAGTATGCAACACGCATTCAGTGTTTGCAGGGTGGCCAAGGTCAATTGGCATTTTTGTGTGCTGGCTTGTTCAACCCACAATGCTACACCCAAGTCATCCCAAGTCCCATGTAGCATACATCGTCATATGTATATATATAGTGCGTTATGATGAACGACGTATGTATATGATCAATTGTTGTGTTTGCCACTTGGGTAATAGGGTCCCTCTCATCTCAGCTTGTGTCATCGCGCACAGTGGCCGCTTCTGTCTACGTGCCTGATGCAGGGGATCAAACAGTGAAGAATGTGGCAGAATTGCACCATATGCAATTACAGGCCTCCGTTGCACCATATACCTTCATAGTATTTATACACATATTACACGCAAGCCTGCGTGCATGTTGTATGCAAAAGCTTGGGTCCATGCATATTATATTCATGTAGTTTGAAAATGTGTTTTTGCAGGCCAACCAGACTGGAGGAGTATCACTGGCATGGTCAAAAAGAGGTGGACCCAAGATGGTGCCTGTAAATGAAACCAGCTAGCCCATAATAGTAAACAATATAGTTATATATATATTTATATATTTGGTCATTCCGATGTCACATAGACCTGAGCTCAGAAACCCAGTACATGGATCCTTCATGCAAAAACTGATCCTTTTCGATTGTTGCCAAGATAGAGCGCCCTAAAGTGAAAAACATGGATCCCTCCATTCAAGCATTGCCACATGTCTTGTTCTGAACCAGCCGCATGGTGTCCTAGGTGGGAAGTGGCTAAGATGGTGGCATCTTGGGTTGTTGGCAGGCGCTTGACAGCCTTGATGGGTAGTCATTCCAGTGGATAGATCGAGGGCTGACTAATCTTGGAATTTGATCTAGAAATTGTCTAAACATCAATAGTTGGAATTACTATAGCGGTGTTGCTGAAATCATGTTATGTGGTCAGCCCTTGGCTTTGGGGTCAATTCTTTTGAGAGAAGCAGGTGAGGTGGATCGACCTGTTGAACTGTTGTATGTCTCCAAATTGTGGTGTGCAACGCGTAGCTCGCTTTTTTTAAAATTTTTATATATAAGTACCCGGGAGTACCCTTCGATGCTTCATCGTTGCAGGCCGGTACCCGACTTCTCACCAGGATTTGAAACAGCGACGCGTGGCCAAAGCCAAAATCTCATGTGGAAATGGATTCGGTTCATGTTGATGAGAAAACAACGTGCGTGCACTCTTTGTAGTACAGCTGGCATCTTGCATGTGGCGAATTTTCCCAACATCTTGCCTCAACCAGGCTCGAACTTGTGCAGTTAGCAGCAAGGTAGATCCTGCATCGAGGCTTCCGACCATTGATTGGATGGCAGGCAAACGCATTAGGCCTGCTTGGACATCATCCCCTGTGGCACTCTCAAAGCGAGCATCGTCTCTCTTGGTATTATGGGGCCTTCCTGTTGTCATGCTTCTTGCTTATAAGAATTCAGTTTAGCCGTGGCCACGTGGATCCACAAATTTTCAGAGTTACGTAGCTAACCGCAGCTAGGATGTAATATAATTCAAGGGCGCAATGCATTGCAATAATACAGTACCTGATTTCAACACATGTTTGAGTCTCTGCAAGAGGAGTTGAAGGTAAGCGAACTCAAAAGACATGTCTTCAAACCTACCAGCCGAGGTTGCACCTAGTGGATTTTTTGGTCCGGATGCCTAGTGTATACAGCCAAGCTAGTCTTGGATCTAGTCTGACAAACGTACTATGCGACAGCACTTTGTTCTAGTTCCATTCCATAAGACCACCGCATAGGGGAAGCTTCCCAACCCCTCCCCCCTCCCCCTCCCTGCCCAAACAGTCGAAGGCCACTTAAATAATCTGTTTTTTTTATAACATGTTAAGTAGAGTTAACCAAATTATCAAAAAATTATTAGCAAGTTATAACTAGTTAGCAAGAGTTAACATGTTACTTTTTAAAGGTCATATGGTAAAGAAAATAAGCTTTGAAAATAAAAAAGATAGTAACCAGCTGCTTGATTTTAGCTGGTGGCTTTTATTTACATCGAATAAAATCACATGGTTTTGAAAAATGTTTCTTTTGATGGAAATGCCACATGGCAAGCATTTTAATTGTTCATATCAAAATGTTCCAATAAACTATACCAACACACCCTACATGAACACTTTGCTGTGTTTGATAAAATGCCAAGCCAGGCGACTATTGCATTGCCACTTTTCATGCATTCACTGGCTTGATGAAATGCCATAGAGCCAATTTTGGTGCTTCTTAGAAAGACAAAACCAGCAAGCGCATGGATTGGATGCTTTTCTTCAGCATTTGGGAATAGATTGGGTAAGGCAGAAGCATTTTGGCTGTGCCTGTGCTTTTGTGGCAAATCACAGGCACAATGATGTCTGCTGTAGGTACAAATCCCAAGTCGTGGTCCAGCACTTGGCAAATTGCACATTGCTTATGTGGTAGCCATTCTTTGACCAGCCAAGACTTCCACCAAGGTAGTGGCAACATCATGCAATAGGAAATGCAATTCTGCAATCCCCATGGACTCACCTGCCTGGTATATGACAATGTTATCCTTGAAGCAGCTCATATGGTTCACTTTGGCACACTGGCTGCTCTTGGCCTCTCCAATGGGCTCACCAATCAAATTGGATAAAGTTTGTAAACTTTTCTTGGAAGCTGAGATGGGGTCGACCAAATGCACACCATCTTTGAACAACTGTGGCTGGTCCAAGTGGCAGATCTCCTTGGCAAGAGCTTGCTCCAAGAGATTGGTTTCAAAATTCTTCTTGTTTAGCAAACTAGTGGCCAGTTGGCCGGTTGGCTTGTGCTTTCTTTCATTGGCAAAGCATGATGGGGGGAAGCCAAATCTTTGCTGTGTATCTGGCATATGGAGCAGCCAATGCCATTTCTTTATCAATGACACTTCTGGGAAGGCAGTCTGGAAGCACTGTATGGCCAGCTCTATGGCTGGCAATAAAGTGCCTTTGCTGATGATGCCAGCAAGGTTTCCATCATGGACCTGGTCAATGAGAGATGCCATTGCCAGCAAAGCCTGGCAAGCTGGAGCTTGGAGGCCATTGGGCAATGCCACATTGTAAACAAACTGGCGCACAATTGGGTATATGGCTAAACACTCTGAAGCTTGGACTCTGAGGCTTTTTGATTGTTTTTGTGGCTTGTCATCTTCTTCTTGGAGAAATATGTTCCAACATGCTGGCACTTCCAAGCTCTTGGGAAAACCCAAAATTGGAAGTAAGCCTCCAAGCCAGACCATACTTGGAAACCTTCTTCCATGGCACACAGCCACTGGTATAACACAATGGGTGCTACCCCCTGCAGTATGCTATGCATGTAATCATGTGCAAATTGGCTGCGTGGCCTCCATTGGCCCATGGGTTTCAAGTCTTGGTCGAGAAGTAAAGCCTTGGAGCTGTGGTTCCAACCTGTGGCCTGCTGCCACATGTCAAACTCTGCTTTGTTACACTGGCTCTTTTTGGCGTCCAATTTAGCATATGACTGGAGAATCTCTGCATCACTGGTCAGCACCAATTGGCTGTACTTGGTGATGTTGCAGTGCATCTGGTCCTCTGTGGTGCCACTGGCTCGAACATTGGGGCCACTGTCGCCTTTGCTGCTCCAAACTTGCTTCTGGGCTGCACCATCAGCTAGCAGCATGGAGAAGGTGAAGTGGAGCCTGATATCTTGGCCTTCTGAGCCTTTCAACAAAAAGCCAGTGGGTGGATGAATCAGCTCATGGCAAAAAAAGCTTCTAAGCAGAGCAGTGGTGATTTGGCCAACACCAGCTTCCACAGCTGATACATTGCTGGATCTGACCAAAGCTATGCTGAGCCAACTGTCTGTGGAATGGAGGCGCTGGCCAAATTGGAGGAAACTGGCATACCATGCCCAGGTCCAAGTATACAACTAAAGACCATGGTTTGCTGGTCGAAGATGGGTGTTGCTTGCGCTTGCTGGCCAAGAGCTGGTGGAAGCTACCACCTCTGAAGAACAAGGCTAGTAGTAGTAGTAGTAGTAGTAGTAGTAGTAGTAGTAG